CGTCTGGATGATCGTGGTTTTGGGGGGCTGGCTGCGTCCCTCCTTCTATGAACCGGTCCAGGTGACCAGCTGCCACTAACTCCTCTAGATGTTGTCTTAACGGCGTGCAATTTTCAATGCGGTGCCCTTTTTCCTTATGGAAGGTACACCGAGATCTTTCGTCGTAGTCCTTCTGTGCCTCTCCCAATTTAGCTGGTCATTTAACGAAAGGTTCATCGCGTATCTCACTGAGAATTCGGTAGATTGGTTTCTTGAATACCGTGGTAATGGCAATGCGGACTCTCAACTATCTTTTATCTTGGTCTTCTCCGTTGTCTCGCTTGCCTCACCCGTTCTTGCTTGGACGTTCTACCGCTTTGACTTTTGCCGAAGTCTTTTCATCTGGTATTACGGCTGTTCCAGACTTTGTTTTAGCTCAGGCACCATCCTCCTCCACCCGAATGTGCTGGTGTACCCTCTCCATTAAGGCTTCCATGGTGAGGGAAGGTGTCATGGTAATTAAGTCCCTCTGCCTGTTTCCGACTGGAAGACCTCTTTTGTATTGCACGATGGCAAGATTTGTGGGGCAATCTCCTATCTGGTTGAAGGTCTCCCAGTAACAACTGTTGTAGGATCTCAACGTCTCCTTGTCGCCCATGTCAATGGAGAGTAGCTGATCGATCTCTACTGGCGTCTCGGTGTTCGTTCTGAACCTTGTCACGAACGCCTCCGCTAATTGCACCCAGGAGGCTATGCTGCCTTCTGGTAGCCTTTTGAACCAGGTTAAACCTAGGTCGCCAAGGCTAGATGGGAATAGGATGCACATCAAAGCCTCGTTTCTCCAGTTTACTGCCATGACCTGGTGAAAGTGGCTTAGGTGCATGTAAGGGTCTGTCTTTCCCTCGTAAGTCGTAAATTTAGGCTGGATGAAGCCTAAAGGTAAGGATGTGTTCTCAATCGCCAGAACGAACGGTGAGCTATGTAGCCTTGCCAATGCTTTATCTGTTGGCTCGTAGGTAAGGTGCAGTATTGGCATTCCAACCTCGACGCTTCCATGCGTCTAAGGAGCCAACCGCTGAAGCGCTGAAACTCTGTGTGGGTCGCGTGCCCTGGCATCTTCCTTTTGTCGTGCCCTTTCTTCAAGCACAGTCCGTAAGTCGGACGATCTAGGCAACTCCGTTTGCCTGGATGATGTCTGGTGCGTATGTGAGGGCCGATAGGCGCTTCCCTCTGTATAAGACCTCAATGATCTCATTCTCTCAGACCTGGAGTAACGAGTTCTGGGAGTCCTTGATTGAGTGTCGCCTGTTCTGAGGCTCCTACTCTCTGCTTGCGATATCGTGGTATGCCTACCACGATCTTCTGAGTGGGGAGGAGGCGTATCGTTCTTGCGCCCCTCTCCTATCGCCACCGCTTTCCCTTTTATCTGGCGCTTCATCAATTCCATGTTCGCTTCCATCTTCCTGATTAACTCGTCCTGCTCCTTTACTCGATCCTCCAAAACTTGAGGATCGATCCTCCGTCTCTGTCTATCAAGACTTGATGAGTGACGGGGGTTGTTACCCCATCTTCCCCTTGCATCCCTCCTTGGATTCTGTCGCTAGGGCTCTAGATCTTCCATGGGAGGGATGGAAGGCAAACCTTCGCGCCTCCCACCTCCCTCTGGGGTTTGCCCGTCAATGGCAGACTGCGGTAAATCTTCATTGTGTGCCATTGCGTCTAATCTAGCGAGGAACACTTTGATCAAGAGGTTTTGTTCTTTCTGTGATTCCCACAGACGGCGCCAATTGTACGAGCAAGAAATAATCTTCTCGTATAATCCTGTTGATCAAGTTTGCGCTCCTCCAAACGTCGTCACTTTACTCCCTGAAAACACAAACGTGAGCAAGCTGGCGGGTGTGTGCTGGATACCTCTCCGATGCCTAAGTCAACAAAATAGACAAATAGACAAAAGCTCTATGTATTCGGGAATCAAAGTTGTGTTACCTCTCTATAAGTGATGGCATGAGTTTTTATAGGTTTCGCGTGACAAAATCCTAGTAGGACTCTTATTCCTCCTTGCAGAGTCCTCCTAGGAATCACACTCCTGAAAGATAATGCCTATCCTTCAACACCCCCCTCACTGCGTAAACCAAGTGAGATGGTTCTACCACGGTTGGATGTCAATACGACCGAGATAACATGGCCATGCTAAAGCCGCAGACTAGACCGAGCTCCAATTAGCACGGTTCTTCCTTTCACTGCGCGTGTAACGCGGTTGACATATTCCAACTGGGTTGTCTGAAACCGTGCTATCCACAATGAGCTTGGATGGAGCTATCTAACAGCAAGGTCCTAAGCAGAAGCCAACAATACCTCGGCTCAAGATGGTTTGACCGAGCTAACTGTCAACGTGCCGACCGTGGTGACCGAGCTAACTGCAAGGTTCTCTGGGACCGGGCTAACTGCAAGGCTCTCTGGGACCGGGCTAACTGTCAGGCCCTTTTACTCAGTCCTTCTCACTGTAGCCCATAGAACGGCCCATCACCTAGCTCAGCCCAATTTCTACATAAATTACCCTCTTAACTATCAATACCATTTTGTAAATAAAACATCATTCATATGTATATATCTATTCCAACTATTGTTCCACAATATGCCAATAGTGACCTATGTTTCAACAATAAAAACTAAGTTAAAATAGTTTTTCTGCTTCTGAATAGTCTATATGCTTTGGTTGAACTTTTACTTAGAGGAGGGCAAGTGTGAGAGCAGAGTGGAAGATACGAGGTTGGGATTATCAACACAAGCTCCAACAAAACAACAAACCCATCTCTCTATCAGAAGCATATTACCAGACTAATGTATGTGTTTTCATCTGAATAGTCTATATGTTTTTGTCTATATGTTACCAGACTAATGTATGTGTTTTTGTGAGAGCGTAGTGGAAGATACTTTTGAATAGTCTATATGTTTTAGTCTCTAGCCATCTCTACAACTACTGTTTTCACTTTGGGCTACTGCATGAAAGGGTGCAAACATGCCTTTGTAGCTTGGAAAGAGGGCATATAATAAAACTTATGCTTTAATATGCAGATGTAGAATTTGAAAATCAATTCCCTCAGTAAAAGGTTTTTTCATTAGTCACACACTGAAGTGCACATTATTCAAAACTTATGTAGTTAAGAAGTTTACAATTCCATACGAGACTAATGTATGTGTGTGTTCTGTGTAGATAGCATTATTCTATTTATGCTCATGTCAATTTGGTAAAGGAAGAAAAAATTATGATGCTACTGTTTCTTATGTTGTTAAATCACAAACAGAATGACAAGACCATGTATCTAACAGAATGACAAGACCATGTATCTTATAATTAGTTTACACATTGAAACAATACAATATTCTGGAGCATCTCCATACTAAAACAAAACCAAATCAATTGGCTGCACCATAACAAGGCTCATCTTTAAATATCAATGTCACAAGTTGAAAAAATCAATGATGGACTGCAACAAGTACACCTATTCAGTCCCATTCGGATAATAACCTACAGGTTCAGTATGTAGAGAAAATTTAATTTATTTTACTTCAGCAACGATATGGACATTCTCAAAAAATTCAGCCATTGCACTTTGTGGCTTAACTATCACTACTTAACTATGATCTAGAATAATCAAATTGTTGTCCATCATCATATTTTGCAAATGCCAAAACTAGGAAAGTAGGTCATATCCAACAAACATAATGCAACCTGAAGGCCATGTTTGGCTGGTAGGAGTGGCAAGGAAAATGAGAATCTCATTCCATGTCTCTTTCATTCCTTTGTTTGGATGCATCTAAGAATAAGAATGTGATTCTTACAATAGTACCCAAAGAAAAATGAAATTACCACACTAGTAAGAATCCCATTCCCACATTCCCCATCGAAATCTCACATTCCTGGAGGTACATAACTCATTTCAAATAAATTGATGGTCCCATAAAATTTAAAATTAAATCATATTCCTTTAGAGGATTTATAGTGGATTCCTAACCAAACCAAACACTTAAATTACATTGACATAGAAATATATTATTACTAGTAATGGAATCACTGGTAAAAAGATTCTCATTCTCACTCTTTGATTCCTCCTATCATCCAAACAAAACCTAAATGTAAGAAGGTGAATCTCAATTGCCAACATATGATGTCCATAAAATACTAATCTTACTAATCCAAAAAATAAATGTAACTATAACAAGTATTACCTTTGAGTCATCCAACTTGTACCATGCATCTGGGGAAGAACTAATGAAGTAATAGTAATGACCCGAAGTGGATGAGAATCTGATATGCACAACAACTGCATACAGATTGTACTTCAATTCCACCTATATGGTATAACAAAACAGAGTTTAGTACCTGTCCATATAACAAAAACCCAAACAAAGATAATTGAAATATGCATTTTCTTTTCAAGTTTAAAGTAATACTTAAACCCCACTAACCCCACCCGAAAAGTATCTTTACCACTGGATTACCAAAAGAAAATTTACTAAAAACTCATGCAAAGGTATGATCACTCAATTAGTAAAAATATTTGAACCAGCTAAGTTTTCTAAAGCCATTCACCATCAGCACCCAACAGAAAATGAAAATTACTCAACCATCATAATTTTTCAGATTAGATCATGAGACAGTTGTGTTAGGACTTCTATTTATGAAGTTCATTTTCCTAACAGATCTTTCAACCAACGGCTTTGACATCAATAACAAACTTACTATTTGATTATTTGTTGATAGAAATTCTCTAGCAAAACTGGAGCCCATATACTCACATCATTATTCTGATCGACACATCGACACTAGTGTATGGCAGCAAGTCTAGCTCTAGTGGGAACTCCACGTGCTTGTCATTCTTCTCAACATATGAGCCATCATTCTTGAATCTTTTCAAGTCGAACGCAGCAACAGAAGGAGCCTGGTTCAATATAAGCTTCTTTTCTACTGACACTTTTTCTTTACATTGTTCACAAGTGAACTTTGTCTCTGTATCTTCAATCTTTTCCATCTTGGTGAAAGATTCTAATGCACTAGGAAGAGTACCCACATTCTCAATCTCCAAACTCCGGTCAATCAAGGGCTCATAGGTGTCAAAAGAGTGACCACAATTGCAGCATTGAAGCTGGAATTCAAACACAAAAGCATTCAACAATTAAGAAACAATTCCAAATCCTAAATCCTATCCATATATGTATGTCTGTGTGTGTATGATGTTAGCTTTAATAGCAAACTTTTTTCTAATAAATAATAGCTAACCTTGTTATCAAAATAATCAATATAAAAGGTGAATCAGAAATAAATTTAAAATTCATACTCTGCTAAACAGACGGCCACCAAAAACTTGCTTGACCAAGCTCTCATCAGCTGAAGGCAAGGAAGTATCCTTTGTCTATGAATAAATACAACAGCTGTCAAGTCTATCCAACAAGCATTGCAAGAACTCATGTGCAGCTTCCTGCTGGAATCTCCGAAAGTTTGATGAAATATCTGGAATTTCCTAGGTCAAGAATCACAATGACATAAACTTCTAAGAAGTTAATATTTGAAGAAGCAATAGTTAGCTAAACGAGATAACACGAGACCACAAACACATAAATAAATCAATCAGAAATGCTGATTAGTTCAATTTTCTTTGATGTAGTGACAAAAACTATATTATTAATACATCCTAAAAAAATGTAGATAAATCAACACCAATCAATTAAACCCGATTTTATTAAAATCATAGTGTCGTATCAATAAATATCACTATAGAAGAGGATACAATTCAAATTGTCAACAAGCTTCCAAGGGGAGACAACCCTGTCCATCGAAGCTATGGAGTATTCAATGTGGTCACGAAGAGTGCAAATTACACAAAACCCTTCATTATCACCTGCAAAATCCAATTCCAAATCAAAACTCAACACATAAATATAACAAATGAAATATATGAACAAATCAATAATGTAAAGTAAAGCGAAATGAGACGAAGTACGCATAATCGAGGTATAGAATCTTACAGTCACAAGGCCTCGGGTGATTGTATGACCTAAGACCGTGAACTAGTGGCACTATGTGCGTAAAACATTGTAAGATTGCATTAAGAAAACAAGTGTTGCCTAGATTTGCAAGCCTTGCACCCTACAAATTCACAAAATAAAGAAAATTCAAATACCCAAATTCCTAAAAACAAAAATAAGCAGAAGTAAACTAAAAATTGAGTGTGGCATGAAGATTTAGCATAACAACACACCACCATAGCCGGCTTAGCTTCACTTGACCAATCTGGAGAGACTGAATCAGAAACCTTGGCAACAGTTTCTTCCTACAAAAGCAGTGAATCAGATCAATCCAAGCTAGAGGGCTTGGTGTCTTCTACCAATGGCCAATCGGACCAACTCAAGGCTGAGGCCGAGCTCTTGGTGCCTCCCTGGGAGTCCCACCCCATGGACGGCCAATGCGAAGAATTGAATGCATCATTTTCTTCGTTCTTTTGAGAATCAACACCACCAAACAAAGCCGAATCAGAGTGATCATCGGGATTCGAGTCGGGCGGAGCTGCTGATGAGTTGAGCAAACAGTCTAGGGTTTGCGGCGGAGGTGAATTGTGTGAAGACCTATCTAAGGTTTGCTTCGAATCAACAGAATTGGGAGGTGGGTATTCAAATTGGAGTGTTTCTATGAGATGGGTATCCATTGAAATGCAGAGAAAGAGGGGGGAAAGTTTGGGAATGTGGAGTTAGGGAAAGGAAAACGAAATTAGGGTTTTGAAGGTTCGATTTTGGGAAGTTTTTTGTGTTTGGGAATGTGGCCGGAGGGAAAAGAGAAGAAATTTGAAAATTAAAGCTTTGTGTTTTGATTTTTGAGGGATGAAGAAGATGAAAGAAGAGGGAAACAGAAAATTTTCACTTCGAAATGGTTCGACTCGCTTTTAGACTATGTTTTGAAAAATGAGGGAAAATGGTGAGGGAGAGAGAGAGAGAGAGAGAGGTTTTTCCCCTATTTTACTAAAAACTTGTTCAAATTTCTTTCTAAAAATTGATAAATATAAATATTATATAAATTATAGTTTTAAAAAAAAAATACTCCTGTAATTATTTAATATGGTTGTATAAGAGGGTTCAAGAACATCGCTGGAAAATTCAAAAATCTTCGAAGATTCTTGAAGAAAAATTTGAATTCTCTAGAAGATGATGAGAGACTTAGATTCTTCAATAGTCTTAACTAAGAACACAAAAATAAAGGATAGTGGAGATAAGAGATTGGGTGAAGAAGAAGGCAAAGTAGCTAGAGAGAGAATAATAACAAGGCTCTCCCATGGATCTTCCACTTTCACCTTCAAGGTTGATAATGGAGAAATGAAATTAGTTCTTTCCCAAGAGTTATCTCTCCAAAATTCATCCCTTGTAAAGCTATGGGTGGGTGTTATTTATAAGCATCTCATGATGTAGGATGGAGCCCATGTGCAAGGCACATAGGGAATATTCTCTCTAACCACCTTATCCGAGGAGGTGACCTCTCCGAGGATGAGGAAACCCCTCGAAGAGGAGATCAACCTCTCGGCAAACCCTTCTTCTTAGCCATACCTAACCAATGATCCCCAATCATCCTAAAGTGTGACGAATTTCAGGCTTTCACAACCCAAAAAAAGAAAAACAAGAAATTACATGTTCCTTGAATTATTTTATAGAAAGAGAGGGATATTTATACCTCAAATTGTTTTTAGGAAGAGTTGAAGATGCTCTAGAAAATGGGGATGGTGAAGGCCCTGGTGGGTGACACATTGTAAAACAAAATTACTTTAGTCAAAGAGAAAACAAAGACAGAGAGAGTCACAGAGTGAGAGAGATAGATATTAGGAGAAGAGAGACAGAGAGAGAGATAGAGAGAAGGAAAAATGGAGAGGACATACTGGGGTAATGCTCCAATAGTAGATCGACGGTGGTGCTCGATGGAAGTGATGCTCCTTACCCGACGGCGATGGAAACAAAGCGACATAGATTCAATATCAAGAGGAGGGCAATCGGCGTGAGAGAGAGAGTGAGAGAGAGAAAGAGAGAGAGTAATGAAATGAGAGAGATAGAGGCGTGAGAGAATCAGAAGAGGGCAGATACAAAAAAGTAAGAGAGGGAAAGCGAGAGAGAGAGAAAGAGAGAGAGAGAGAGAGAGAGAGAGAGAGAGAGAGAGAGAGAGAGAGAGTCACAGAGTGAGAGAGAAAGAGAGACATTTTTAAGCCCTAACTCATTTTAGTGTGCTTGAAATCCCTCCAGAGTTCCTCACCAAATTAATTTAAAAATCCCACCAAAATGACAATAAATAAAAAAGAAAATTATAATAATAAATAATGATGATAATCATAATAAAATTAAACATGAACTCAAATTGGGCAGTATGTGTTCCCAAACAAAATATTGAGTTTTATTGCTGACTAAATGTGTTTTAGTCACCAAAAATGTATATTTGCCGACCAAATGAGGTAGTCACCAAAGATTAAAAATAAAATTATACTAGATATTTGGCGACTAAATTTCTTTTAGTTGGCAAAAGTTGGTATATGACGACTAAAATTTATTTAGTCGCTGAAAATAAATTTTTGGCGACCAAACTTTTAGCCGCCAAAAATAAAAGTAAATTTTTGTTTTCCATTCAACGACTAAATAAATTTAGTAGCCAAAAGTAACTATACAACGACTAAAATATTTATTTGTAGCTAAAAATAAATTTTTGGAAACCAAACTTTTGGTCGCCAAAGATAAAAAGTAAATTTTTATTTTTCATTCAGCGACTATATTATTTTAGCTGCCAAAACTATCTATACATCGACTAAAATATTTTTTAGTCGCTGAAATTAAATTTTTGCCGACCAAACTTTTGGTCGCCAAAGATAAAAAGTAAATTTTTATTTTTCATTCAGCGACTAAATTATTTTAGTTGCCAAAACTACCTATACAGCGACTAAAATATTTTTTAGTTGCTGAAATTAAATTTTTGCCAACCAAACATTTGGTCGCCAAAGATAAAAAGTAAATTTCTATTTTTCATTCAGCGACTAAATTATTTTAGTTGCTAAAACTACCTATACAGCGACTAAAATATTTTTTAGCCGCTGAAATTAAATTTTTGCCGACCAAACTTTTGGTCCCCAAAGATAAAAAGTAAATTTTTATTTTTCATTCACCGACTAAATTATTTTATTGTCAAAACTACCTATACAGCGACTAAAACATATTTTAGTCGCTGAAATTAAATTTTTGCCGACCAAACTTTTGGTCGCAAAAAATAAAAAGAAAATTTTTATTTTTCATTCAGTGACTAAATTATTTTAATTTCCAAAATTAACTATGCAGCGACTAAAATATTTTTTTAGTCGCCAATTGTGGCAAATTTAGCGACTAAATTTTTTGAGTCGCCAATTGTGACATATTTAGCGACTAAATTTTGTTTTAGTCTCCAATAATCAATATACCCCGACTAAAAAAATTTAGTAGCTAAATATTGTATTTTTGCCAACTAACATAATTTTTGGTCGTCAATTCTGCAACTTGTGGCAACCAAAATGTTTTTAGTCGGCAAAAGTGGTCGCCAAAAGTGTATTTTCTTGTAGTGTATCTCGAAATAATGTTATAACTAAATAAGAAAATTAGTCATAATTAAAGAAAAAAATTACATAACTAGATGCGCATATGGTATGGGGTGTGTATAATAGATTTCTCCTCAAAAACCTCATCAAATGCTCGTCAACATAATGATTTCCATCTCAAACTATTTGTATCTATGAGAACCCGTATTTTTACAGAGTGATTTGTTTCAATGATCTTATTGTGTCAAAATTTAGTATTTTTTATTTTTTAGATCAACTAAAATTATATTAAGTCACTTTAATAGTAGCAATTCAATTATTATGTTATAAAACTAAAGTTATATAGTTATTAGTAATCTTGGACACTATCAATTCAATTATTCCTGTAGTCAAATTCTAGATATGTGACTTTCAAGACAATAAATAATAATAA